CTTTTGATTTGTCTTCCTGATCTTGTCCTTGTAGTTGTGTTATTGTCCAATGTGTTTTGTTGCGGACTTTGTTGCGGAATAGTGTTATTGTTGCAATTCTCTTGTTGTTCCACATGATCAAATTGTTCATCGTCCTCGAATTCATTTGATTCTGAATTGAATTGTTCCTTTTCACATGTTTTGTTGTTTTCGCTCGTTTTATGCAATGGTCTCCTATTTCTTCTGAATGTTTTTCCTTTAATGTTGATTTCATATGATCGTTCGTTTACTTTCTGATTAACTGTTCCTTTCTCCCATGTCTTTTGATATTTGTTTGCTGGTTCCACTCTCACAACGTCTCCTTCTTTTAAAGATGATAGTTCCTTTGCTCCTTGATTGTAATAATGAGCTTGTCTTTCTTTAGAGTATTGAATTTCCTTTTGTACATTCTGTCCTTCTATTTTCGGTTTAAGTAAACTTTCTTTTGTGGGTATTAGTGTTTTTGTTCTTCTGTTCATCAATCGTTGAGCGGGACTAGTTTCGAATCCTTGAGTTGGTGTATTTCGAAAGTCTAGTATGGCTAAATAAGGATCTGATTGTGCATGTTTTCCTTTCCTCATTAACGATTTGGCGGTTTGGACAGCATGTTCTACTTTCCTATTACTTTGTGGATAATAGGGTGATGATGTTTCATGGCTAAAATCCCATTCTTTGGCAAAATTTCTGAATTCAACACAGTTAAACTGAGGTCCATTGTCAGAAAAACAAGTGTCGGGTATGCCATATCTAGCAAACTGTGCTCGTAATTTATGAATGACTGTAGTTGCTAGAGTGTTTTCTAGGTAGTCGATCTCCCAGAAATTTGAGAAATAGTCTACAGTTATCAGGTAATTTCGTGTTTCAAATGTCATTAAGTCAATACCGACTTTTGCCCATGGTCTTAAAGGGACTTCATGTGAAATTAATGGTTCTTTACTTTGTTTCCGTTTATACGTGCGGCTTGTTTCACATCTTAACTGAAATCTTTCACTTCTGAATTCAAGCCTGGCCAGTAGAGGCTTTCGCGCGCACTTCTTAAGCATCCTTCAACTCCAATGTGAGAAGAGTGTATTCTGCGGATCATATCGGATCTTAAGGACTTTGGTATTATTACTCTTTCACCTTTGAAAATTAGTCCATTTTGAACAGTGAGTTCATCTCGGATGTCGAAGTATATATTTATCTCATGTGACACATCAGATTTTATGTCTGGCCATCCTGATTGTATAACGTGTTTGAGCTTTTGTAGTTGTGTGTCAGTTTCTGTGTGTTGTTGGATTTCTTTGAGCCTTTCTTCTGATATTGCAAGATCTTTTATCATGTTTATTGCTTCTATTTCTTCACTTTCTGACTCGGTTTGCTTATCCTTGATATATGCTCTGCTTAGTGTATCTGCGAGATACATCTCTTTTCCTGGTTTGTATACTAGCTGTATATTGTATTTCTGTAGTTGTAACATCATTCTTTGTAGTCTCTTTGGTGCACAATGTAGAGGCTTCTTCAAAATTGACTCTAATGGTTTGTGATCTGATGTTACATACACATTTCTGCCATATGTATATTGGTGAAATTTTTGTAGGCCAAAAACTACAGATAAAAGTTCTTTCTCAATTTGTGCATATCGAGTCTCTGTGTCAGTGAGTGCACGACTAGCATACGCTATCGGTTGATTTTCCTGCAATATTGCCACTCCAAGACCTGTTTCAGATGCATCGCTTTGTAGTGTAAGCTCCATGTTTGGATCATAGTATTTCAGAACAGGTTCACTGGTTACTAGTGTCTTTATCTCATTTAAAGCTTTGTCATGACTATCTAACCAGCTGAATCTTTAAGTGTCAATTTTTCTGAGTGGTTCACAAATATGGCTTAGCTTGGGTAGAAATTTGCTCAAGTATGTTACAAATCCTACCAATCTCCGAACTCCTGAAACATCAGTGGGCTTAGGCATTTCTAGTACTGCGCGTACTTTTTCTGGATCCATTTTCAGACCTTTATTGGTAATCAAGTGACCAATAAATTTAATTCTTTCATCTTCAATTTGAGTTTGTCTTTATTCAATTTGAGATTTCTTTCCCTGCATCTTTCCATTAGCAATCGGAATTTTCTGTCATGGTCTTTAATAGCTTCTTCTTCTGTTTTCCCTTCACCATAAATCAATATGTCATCAATTATGCTTTGGACTCCAGGTAGACCTTCTACTTCCTGATCTTGTCTGCGCTGATATTCTTCTGGCGCTGAGGTAATACCAAAAGGCATTCTTAACCAACGGTAACTTCCAAATGGTGTATTAAATGTAGTCAGGTATGAAGACTTTTCATCTAACTGGACGTGCCAGAATCCATTCTTTGCATCAACAACACTGAAAATTTTCGCATTCGAAAGCTCAGGTAGCAGATTATCAATTGTATGTAGTCGGTAATGACTTCGTTTGATGTGTTGGTTGAGGTGTTTAGGGTCAATACAAACTCGTAGCTTATTCGGCTTTACCACGGTTACTAAGCTTGAAACCCATGGCGTTGGTTTAGTGACTTGTGTAATAATGTTCATATCACAAAGTCTGTTTAGCTCAGTTTGCAGTTGGTCCTTTATTGCAACAGGTACCTTCCTTGGTGGGTGTACTACTGGTTGAGCATTTTCGTTCAACTCCAGATGATATTTTCCTTCAAGTAAACCTGTACCTTCAAAGACATCTTCGTATTCTTTAAAAATATTTGCTTTATCAATTGGCTTATATGAATCCGGTGACATTGGTGCTCCTTGCTGTACACTTTTAATGTTTTCATAGTGTATTGTCATTAAGTTCATAGCTTGAACTGTTTTGTTACCAAGTAATGGAGTGAGTGTTTTATCTTTCACAACAATAAATTCTGCTTTGAATTTAGCATCATTCTTAGGATTGATTAGTTTCAGCTGGCAAGTACCAAGTGGTTTTATTGTAGTGTTATTGTACATTTTAAGGACTTGGCTTGTTTTCTTTAGTTCTTTAATTCCTAATTCTTTCAGTGCATTGCTATTTATAATGTTACATGTTGCACCACTGTCTAATTGAAATCTGACTGGCATGATTTTGTTACTTACAATGTTCATTGTTGCGTACACATGACGGCTATTTTTACCATCTACAGTGTTGATCTGTACAAGGGTTACTGCTTTGATTTCAAAAAATTCATCACTGTCGTAATCTTCTGACGCATAATTATCTGACAGAGTACGAACTTGCTGTGGTCTTCTAATTTTTGTTATCTTGCCTGATTGGCACACTGCTTCAAAGTGGTTTGTTTTGACACATTTACGACAAGTTTGACCATACGCTGGACAGCTGGATCTAGAATGTTCATGTCTCTTTCCACAATATTTGCAGTTGCTATTACTTCGGTATTGTTGCTTTTCATGTTTGACATAAGTGCCTTGTTTCTGTTTGAATTTTGTGTTTGGTTTTGTCTTATGTCTTACAGCATTTACTTCAGTGTTGGAGGCAGCTGTAGGGTTTTCTAGAGTTTTGATTCTTTCTTTAGTAAGCTCAGCAGCTCTTCCCAATTGCATGGTTTTATCAAGTGTAAGATCTAGCGTGCGTAGTAAGCGTTCCCTCAGACTCGAGTTGCTTATGCCGCAAACAATACGATCACGTACCAGGGAGTCATTCAGTGCCCCATAATTACATGTGGATGCAAGCAGTTTTAGTTCTGTGATGTATTTGTCGAATGTTTCATCTTGACGTTGATTTCTCATATTGAACATGTATCTTTCAACTGTTTCATTTTTCTTGGGATTGCAGTGGTTCTCAAATGCTTCTAGAACCTGTAGAAATGTTCTTTCATTCGGTGGACGTTCAAATGTCAATGTTTCGTACACTTCTCTCCCTTGTGTGCCTACCAGATAAAGAAACATTTTTACCTTAGCTTTCTCATCTTCTGAGTCCATTGTCAAATCGATGTAAAGTTCAACTTCTTCTTTCCATCTTTTCCACGCATCAGCGAGGTTTCGAGCTTCAACATTAAATTTATCGGGTGCCCGTAGCTTATCCATTGTTCCCAGAAAACGCACGTGGTTTTGAGCGGGACTTGAATTTGTTGCTTATTTCTATGTTTTAGGGATAGTGTTTTGCTTTCTTGGTTACTTCCCTGTTTCCAAATGACGGAATCTTTATATTTCTTCTAAAATTGTCATTGTATCGTCTTTACATCTGACACCATGTATCAAGTTTGGCTTCGAGTGATATAAACACAGTACGTTGAACTACATATTTAATAACAATACCATGCATTATGGGTACATTCCATTCTAACAGTTTGTAAATAAACAATAGCTAAATTAAGTATGCAGACCCGGACGCGTCTTATAAATTGGAGTATTGTTACATCTTCCATATTAAACCTGCTGTTACGTCAACATTGAACCCTGACCGGTTTTTTGTTGAGAGGATATATATATATATATATTAATTTGTTTCAAGACGACAAGGTAAATTCTATCAGATATTTAGTTCATGCTTAATTGTAACGCTATTGTGTTTCATATGTATCTTTAACAGAATAGTTTTCTTTGTTGGGTTTGTATATGCACAATCATTTACTTTCGTTTTCGCTGATACCCTCACAGTAGTATTTTTTTCTAAAGGAGAATATGGTATGAAATTATTAAATCTGATCTTGTTTCATACTTCTAACTGTGGTCATTATTTACACAATATGAAGGAAGTTGTTAAATTAATAGAGTTTGTATTTTATTGTCTATTAAATCTTTTAATTTGCGATATATGGCTGGCTGATCTGGTCATATTTGTTTTATACATTATATGTTTGCTAAAATTAAAAATAAAAATAACCAACCTAATATTATGAACGGGAAAAATATAACGATATTTGGAAAATAAATATCCCGGAATGTTAAGAGTTGAAAATAAATAATAGTCAGAGATTAGGCTTAATATTCTCTACATTTAGTAATATTCAATGAACACGTTTTTATTATGTTGCAGCTACAGATACTTTATCAGTTTTTGTTAGTGTAAAAAATCAAACAACAACGAATCCAAGGTAACATTTTTTTATACATGTCCAATTTTGACACTCTTAAACACGACTTAGAATTACAATAAACGCAATCTATTTGAAAAAGAGAATTTCTATTTTATTCTCTTTTTTCAATGCTTTCTATTTGTGTGAACAAAATATTCCAACAAACATTTAACTGGCATGATAACACATATATTTGATAATGGTATCAAATAACACTACACAACAAAACTTCGAGAACAAGAAATAAACACGTTTTACTTTACATGTACAAGAAACGTAGAAATAATTGTTAACAAGTAAATTGATAACCAATCAGATATCAATAATTTTCCCAAAAAGATGATGACAACAAATCAATAGAATGGGCAAATTTCCCTAAAACGATGTTAACGAAAAAGAAATCAATAGAATGATAAAATCTCCCAAAAATGATGAAAACTAAAAAGAAATCAATAGAATGGTAAAATTTCCCCAAAAAAGACGATAACCAACAAGAAGTCAATAGAATGGGGAAATTTCCCCAAAAGATGATAACCAACAAGAAATCAATAGAATGGGGATATTTCCCCAAAAAGACGATAACCAACAAGAAGTCAATAGAATGGGGATATTTCCCCAAAAAGATGATAACCAACAAGAAATCAATAGAATGGGGAAATTTCCCCAAAAGATGATAACCAACAAGAAATCACTAAAATGGGGAAATTTCCCCAAAAAGATGATAACCAACAAGAAGTCAATAGAATAGGGAAATCTCCCCAAAAAGATGATAACCAACAAGAAGTCAATAGAATGGGGAAATTTCCCCAAAAAGATGATAACGAAAACGAAATCACTAAAATGGGGAAATTTCCCTACAAAGTTGATAACCAAAAATAAATCAATAGACTGGGAAAATTTCCCCAAAAAGATGGCAACGATACCGAAATCAATAGAATGGGGAAATTTCCTTACACAGTTGATAACCAAAAAAAATATTTAGACTGGGGAAATTTCTTCACAACGATTTTAACCAAATAGTTATCTATAGACTGGGGAATCATTCCCACAGAGATGATAACCAAAATAAGTTCACAGGTTTGAAGAAAATACTCATGCATTGCACAATGATTGCACATTCCGTTGTATACAACAGCGAGAAATATGTCGTCTAACAGATACTGTAAGAATAGAAAAGAGTCACTGTGGTGAAACATTTTAAGCAGCAGATAACACAATTGAAAGGAATCATTGGCTGGGAATATTCACACTGATAAATTAAACAACAAACATCAGAAATAGAGATGATACAGTATAGATGGGCTAATTTCCTCACAAACTCTTGTTAACTGTAATCATGTATATCGGGGCCTTTAATAGGCGACTAAACAGTATGGTTTTTCTCATGTTGAAGGCCGTAAGGTTGCCGTTAATTGTTAAAAACCACTTAAAATGATCTTTGAGGAATAGTTGTCTCATTGACAATCATACCCGATCCCCTTATTTATGAATAGCTATAAATTAACTCGTATGTTTTAATCTATCGGGGCCTCGGTGGCCGAGTGCTCCAAGTAGTCCAACTACTGTATCACTAGCCAGTCAACGCTGAGATTATGAATTCGAATTCCGCTCGTGCAAGGTGTGCTCGACTCCAATCTTGATTGACTAGGCCCATGATTGTCAGTTTTCCTATCGAAGGTTCGTGGTTTTCTTCGGGCCATCCGGCTTCCTCCATCAATAAAAAATGACCGCCTTGAAATAGCACAATAGTGTTGAAAGTGGCGTTAAACACCAACAAATCAATCAATCAATCAATTTAATCTGGTGAATTTCCCAGCCCGTTTGAAAAAATTACACCCTATGGGAGACCATGAAAAAAATTGACACATTTGAAGTGAGTTTATAATCTTGCAGAATGTGGTTTTAATTTCAACTGTTCAACATTTACAGCAAATATTATAATTCAAACCATACAGATTAAATAGAAAACAAGCTCTGTCCTTTATTTGGTGTCTTTATGCAGGCAGTAATAGATCATGCCTTAAGTTGAAGTCTTCTTTTCCTTTCCTGTAAATATATCATGCCTTGATTAGAAGTCTTCTTTTCCTTTCCTGTAAATGTATCATGCCTTGAGTAGATGTCATCTTTTTCTTTCTTGTAAATATATCATGCCTTGGGTAGAAATTCTTCTTTTCCTTTCCTGTAAATATATACATCGTTGATACAAAAGATTGCTACATGTACCAGACAGTGTGACGTTACGTTAATATTATAAGGAAGCTTCCATTTCATTTTTAGGGGAGGGGAGGAGGGCTGGGATGAAATTTGAAAAAAACGTCAGGACCGAATAGAGGGAAAAAGAAAAAGAAAAAGGCAGGACAGAGATTACAATTAAAAAAAAATGCAGGACAATATTTTTCACCCCCCCCCCCCTTTTTCTCCCAATTAATGTCAAATGGTAGCTCCCTTACGTATAAATAAGCCTGCTATATGTATATCGTTACAAGATAAACTGCATTGAATGTCTCAATACTTTCTGTTATCGTCATTCTGAAGTTGATATCTATAAAATGAGAAGATTGTACCTGCATAGGGCAATTTTGATATCATTTAGAAAAAGTACGAGCCCCTTTACAGGCATTCTGATATCTGAGTATACAACAAATTTTAAGGAGGTTTGCGCGAACTATAAGTTCAGTTTTAAAATATGTATCATGAAAATCATTCTGTCACCACTGTGTTAACCGGGACAATTTCAAACTCGATATTTGATTCTAAAAATTAGGACAATACAAACATTTAAAAAAAGATGTGAAACCCTGTCTAATTTAGAAAAGATGGAGTTACAGTCTATACAGTAACTTTCTTTCACTTGCAGTATATTTACATATTTGCCAATGTGCGTTTTATGTATTGGCAGCAGAAATGTCCTTAAAAACTAGTAAGTCTATTTCCTCATCAATTGATTACGCTTGAGAATTGGCAATAGTTAGGAATAGTTCACGCTCACGATTTTTTTACGACACTGTATGGTATAATAGCGTTATAGAGTATAGAAGTTGTGGTGACGTTACAGTAGAAATTAAATAAGGTCACCGAATTTGTTTTTTCCGCTAAAAATCAAACCTTAAGAAATGCATTCTAAAAAAAATAAACTAAATAAATGGGGATGGACACAGATGCTGCCCCCGCTTGCATATACTGTTATAAAGGGACACAACTCAAGAACTGTAAAAGTGACGCTTCCCAAATTTGTACTTGCAATGAGTTTTGTGGTAATTAGCATTGTGTATACGTTTCATAACAAACTTAAGTTAGACAACAGAAACAAAAAATCCAGTTTTGTAAAGGAGCATAACTCTAAAACGGTAAAAATGACGCCACCAAAGTTCAAACTTGATCTGTGTTTTGTAGTTATAAGCATTGTGTATAAGTTTCATAACATTTGGTTGAGGAAAACTAAAGTTAGAGAACGGAAACAAAAAAATAAGCATGTTTTCCATTTGTAAAGGTGCATAACTCTAGAACGGCAAAAGTGACGCCACCAATATTCAAACTTGGTCTGTGTTTTGTGGTAATAAACATTGTGTATAAGTTCCATAAAGTTTGGTTGAGGCAAACTAAAGTTAGAGGACGGAAACAAAACAATTAGCATTTTTTCCATTTGTAAAGGGGCATAACTCTAGAAAGATTAAAATGACGCCACTAAAATTCAACCTTGATCTATGTTTTGTGGTAATAAGCATTGTGTATAAGTTTCATAACATTTAGTTGAGGCAAACTAAAGTTAGAGAACGGAAACAAAAAATTCAGCAATTTTTCCATTTGTAAAGGGGCATAACTCAAGAATGGCAAAAGTGACACCACCAACATTCAAACTTGATCTGTGTTTTGTGGTAATAAGCATTGTGTATAAGTTTCATAACATTTGATTGAGGCAAACTAAAGTTAGAGAACGGAAACCAATTTTGGGACGTTCTTACGGACGTACAGACAAACAAGGATAACAAACTTATTGCCCCCTCCGCTACGACGGGAGCATAAACATTTGAAAATAAATCTTTATAAGTCTGTTGCCGATGAAAAAAAGCAATATCTAGAAGCATTGAATTATATTTAACAAGAATTTATCCATAGTACACGGATGCCCCATTACACTATCATTTTCTATGTTCAGTGGACCGTGAAATTGGGTCAAAAATCTAATTTGGCATTTAAATTAGAAAGATCAAATCATAGAGAACATGTGTACGACGTTTCAAGTTCATTGGACTTCAACTTCATCAAAAACTACCTTGACCAAAAACTTTAACCTGAAGCGGGACAGACTGACGGACGAACGGACGAACGGACGAACGAACGGACGAACGGACGCACAGACCAGGAAACATAATGCCCCTCTACTATCGTAGGTGGGGCATAAAAATAACAAGAACAACTTTCAGTGGTGTCGTGGTAGCATGTTTGCATCGAGTGCAAGAGGTCATGGGATCGAAACCCGGCTTGGTCAAAACAAAAACTTTAAAAGTGACATTTGCTGCTACTACGCTGAGCACGCAGCATTAAGGAGTAAGAGAAAAGATTGGTCGGCTCGGAATTAGAATAAGGTGTCCGACTAGGGTGACATATGAAGCGGCGGATTTAACCCGAATCCTCCTTATGGAGCTACTTTTATGGTTAATGAAAATGTTTTACATGTTCCACTCCAAACATTGCATAATAAGAGGCCCCGGTCCCCCCCTTTTTTTGCAAAATCCCGGGTCCGCATCTGATGTCTTCCTACGGACTGCTGCCTTGTGAGCGAGCAAGTTGTAAATTCATTCCAGCAAGTCGGTCTAGTACAAAGCAGGATTTATTATGCATATCACATTAACATATGTTCCCGTCCTAAATAAAAATTAACTTTGCCGCTTGATCGTTCAAATTCGAATTAAATGTACGTATGAACGAACAGCCACTCCGCTAGCAGCCATTTTTCAGATATGTCTATAAACCAAAAAAATTGCATAAGATTCATTCTAACTTAATTTTTTTTTTAA